CAGCCGGCAGGTAGATGAGAATCCATCCACAGAACATCCTTTTCAACTCACTTGAGATTTGGGGCTGTAGTTGAGATATTATTTGAGCTTTTGAGATGTTAATCAGCTGCTGTTGGTTGTAGAAAACTGCCTTGTTGCCATGGTTATGCATCATAACAAATGTCCAAAACTAAAAAAGTTTCAGTAAAAATCCTTCCAGCTGCACAGCATCTGATACCAGAGGAAACAATCATCCAGAAAATGTGATTTACATCCAGAAAAAGAGGAATTAAAGTTTCCAAAAGCAAAATCTCAGAATGAAAGTAACAGAGCTGCTCCAACATGCAGCCACCTTGAGCGGCGCAATTCTAGAACAGTTCTTGGTGCAGCGCCCCCACAGGTGAGAGGGGCAATAGGTTGGTTCAACAGGTTGGCTCGACTGCACAGTGCAGTGTGAATGCAAATGCACCAGCTCAAATGTAAATAAAATGTCATGAATATTGGTCCCGAACCGAACCGAGTCTACCGGACTATCAGGTGTGAATGCACCCTTAGAGCTAGCAGATCAGTAATGGGTCAGAGTTGACATTAAAGCTGCTCTTACACGTTAGACCGGATATGAACCTTGCTGAGAGCATGGTCACAGCACAAATGAACTGTAACTGCATTTAAATTGCACAAGTCAAGTTTGAAGTAAACAGTCTCATGAGCCTTAGCATTAAACAGAAACCAAAACATGCATGCTAGGCTCATTGGTAACTCTAACCCTGTGATGGACTGGAGACCTGTCCATGGTGTCCCTGTGATTGACTGGAGAACTGTCCATGGTGTCCCTATAATTGACTGGAGACCTGTCCATGGTGTCCCTGTGATGGACTGGAGAACTGTCCAGGTGTCATGGTCTGGAGACCAGTCCAGGTGTCCCTGTGATGGACTGGAGATATGTCCAGGTGTCTCTGTGATGGACTGGAGACCTGTCCATGGTGTCCCTGTGATGGACTGGAGGTCTGTCCGTGTGATGGACTGGAGACCTGTCTAAATGTCCCTGTGATGGACTGTAGACCTGTCCAGGTGTCTCGGTGATGGACTGGAGAAAGGTCCAGGTGTCATGGACTGGGGACCTGTCCAGGTGTCCCTGTGATGGACTGAAGACCTGTTCATGTGTACATGTGATGGACTGGACACCTGTCCTGGAATCTCTGTGATGGACTGGAGACCTGTCCAGGTGTCATGGGCTGGAGATGTGTCCAGAAGTCCCTGTGATGGACTGGAGACCTGTCTAGGTGTCATGGACTGGAGACCTGTCCAGGTGTCTCTGTGATAGACTGGAGACCTGTCCAGGAGTCTCTGTGATGGACTGGAGACCTGTCCAGGTGTCTCTGGAATGGGATGGAGACCTGTCCATGGTGTCCCTGTGATGGACTGGAGAAGTGTTGAGGTGTCATGGACTGGAGACCTGTCCAAGTGTCCCTGTGATGGACTGGAGACCTGGCCAGGGGTCTCTGTGATGGACTGGAGACCTTTCCATGGTGTCATGGACTAGAGGCTTGTTCATGTGTCTCTGTGATGGACTGGAGACCTGTCCATGATGTCCCTGTAATGGGCTGTAGACCTGTCCAGGTGTCATGGACTGGAGACCTGTCCAGGTGTCCCTGTGATAGACTAGAGACCTGTCCAGGTGTCATGGACTGGAGACCTGTCCAGGTGTCCCTG